TGTCGTTGTTTTATTTATTATTGATAAATATCTGAGTATTAAAAACAAATTGCCGCACTAATTCTTGAGATTTTTCAAAATTGTTTTTACGTTTCGATGGTTTTGCAAATTTTTCGCTCAAAATTCGATGGTAAGCGATTCACTTGCGATGGTTTTGCGTATAAAATCTATTCCTGTCGTTATTTTATTATTTTATTTACTATTGATAAATATCTGAGTATTAAAAAAAAATTGTCGCACTAATTCTTGGGATTTTTCAAAATTGTTTTTACGTTTCGATGATTTTGCAAATTTGTCGCTTGAAATTCGACGACAAGCGATTCACTCACGATATTGTTGCGTATAAAAAATACGAGAAGAAGATACCGCGAAGAATTAAAGAAACACTGTAGAACAGAGAAACTTACCTTGGAGTCGTGAGAACGTCCTCGGTTCACAGCTTCCGATCCGCTTAGATGATCGACTTCCGTTCGCTATTCATCAGCTCTCGTTTTCTATACCAGAAGACAATCTCTCACGAAGTCGTCGGGGCTCAAGCGAATAACCGTGAAAGTTTTGGGAATCGAGCCGGAAAACTGTTACTCGCGTAGACACTCACGCCTCGATGGCTCTGAAAGTAAAAGAACGACGCTGGTAAACAACACGCTAACACGATTACAATCCTGAAAATCTTTCTTCCAACGATAGAATCGTTGGAAGTTATAAAAACGTCAACCTCAATTTCTTTTTAAATAGAATCTCTTTTTTTCTCGCTTCAAGGGAATTATCAAGATTTACTGTGATAATTAATTAACAAAGCGAGGATTATTGCAACACAGAACTCGTTGTATTTTGTGAACAAGGTTAAACGAAATTATGCCAATACTGTGAATGTGTGATTCAATTATTGAAATTCATAATTGAACGGGAAATGTAATGAGATAATTCTGGAGGTGAATCTCTTTGAAATTTTCTTGCAAGTATCAAATTTGCTTCAGACTTAATTTTAATTATAAAATAATTTTTCAGTGTTTTCTGCTTTAGTCGCATTCAGCCCACTTATTCACTCAAAAAGTGAAAATTTGTTTAAATTTTAGGAATATAAATTGTATATTGCTCGAATCGCTCGAATTTCTTTCACGTCCGAAGCTTCGATAAGTAGTATTGACCCGTGCATGGTCAGACGCGCTACTTCACTGTTTCCTTAGAGGAAATATAAAACTACTCTTTCAAATCGCTACTAAAACACATTCTACCAAAATTACTATAATCACAGGACCTATATTCGTCAATTCAGCATTCCTTAACAATTATTTCAACATTAAATACACAATACAAAATCACAAAGTGTTGAAATCTTCAAAACGAACCCTGAAGTTTCAGCCAAAAATTTCCAACATCGATCTTAAAATCTTCAAAACTTTGAATTGCTGCACAACATTCACACACAAATACACATTAAGAAATACACAAGTCGAAATCCCCATTACCTTATCGCCACCCGTTAAATTACACAACCGAACAGAGTACAATGAAACTTTATTTCATACTTCAAAGCTAGAACACTGCATCGATTTGGTAATTATAACAAACGCAGCGGTACACATACACGCGCGCACGTGAAACACCAGAAGTGTTCTTTTCATAAAGAAACACAGCGTGGAACGCGAGAAAATGGACGAGGAATGGCAAAAAAGGTGAAAATGTAGGGGAAAAGGACTCGGTAATGAAGAAAAAAGGGAAGAAATCAAATTATTCTCATCGAGCTTGTTCCTGTAATTCCCAACAAAATGGGATAAAGGGAAGAGGTGAAAAAAGCCCAAGGGGGAAAGAAGAAGAAGAAAAAGCAAGGAAATGATAATTACGGTCGCGATCTCCGATAAGAGCGACGAAAATACTCGGCGTCGTTGCTGACTGCACAGATAAAGTAACAATTCTATTAGCGACGACGTGATAATTCATCCGTGCCGTAACGTCAACTTCAATTATCATTCCAATTTTCAAACCCTGAAATATCAGGCGACTGTACTTTATTTTTATTTATTTAGAAATATTTCTCCTTTTTTCTCATCATTCCTTCACCTATTACCTACTCATTTTCTTACAATTTATACCCCCCTGTTGCTTACAATTTATACACTATACTTTATTTTTATTTAGTTAGAAATATTTCTCCTTTTTTCTCATCATTCCATTTACCTACTGCTCCCTTTCAACTCTTCGAGGAATGTACATTCCATGTTGCTCACAGTTTACACACTATACTTTATTTTTATTTAGTTAGAAATATTTATCCTCATTCCATTTACCTATTGCTCCTCTTCAACTCTTCGAGGAATGTACATTCCCTGTTGCTTACAATTTACGTTTACTTGAAAAGGAATGATAATGACGAGTTTAATTAAACGAGCTCCCATCTGAGCGCGGAAAAATGAGGGAATTATCGCCAAAGAAGCTATTCAAATGTTTCCTTGTAAATGAAACGAGTTCTTACATCCCTCTTTGAAATGATACCACGAAAAATACAAAGAATTCGCGGAAACGAGCGCACCGCAACGCGAGACAAACGGAACAACCACGTCTCTTGTTTCGTGATAATGTAATTGGCTTGGAAGAAACTTGCAGGAGAACGTTTCTGATGACTTATGGCGATAATAATAAACAAGGAAATTGAAAAGGTTAATTAATGATGATTGAAACGGTAACCACATTGTGGACAGGTTTGTAAAGGTGCATTACGGAATGGAATGTTGCAAGTGATTATCAACGATGTTGATGAAACTTTGGTATATGGTAGTCCTCAAAAAAATATTCGACACGTATTTTTTTTTATCGACAATGGTCCACAGAGAAGGGGTGAAAATTTCCTTCAAATTTGGAGGGTTCAAATTTATTTAGTGTAATATCCCGAAAAATACTGGAGATAGAGAAATACTGTAAATTGACAAATTTTCAATTTTTCAATAACGAATTTAAAAAATAATAAATAATTTTGACTAAATATGTTTATTACCCTCATTTTTCAGGGCGATTTTCATCCCTTCAACGTGAAAGATTTCCAATAAAAAAAAAATACGTGTCGAATACTTTTTTGAGTACTATTATATACCAAAGTTTCACTTTTAAAGCTTCCCTTGTCAGAATTGACGTAACCAAAAATTAGGAAAAGTAAACACTCAGAAAGAATTGAACGAGTATTCCAGGTTCGATATTAATAAAACGTTAAAAAGACTGACTTTATATCGTAGAATTTGATTAACAACGGAGGTTTCCAAGAACGAATAAACGGAAATGCCCACGAAATTAAACAAGGAATCCGTAAATGAGCCAACAAACACAACAATTTAATTTCCTTCGCTTATAACAGCGAGCTGCGGGAAAATTGATGAAACCGCTGTTTACAGACTGGTATCAATTAATTCCACGGGAAAAACAGAGATTTTCATTTGCCCGGAGCGTTACGATGGCCGGGCGCAACAAACAGAGCGCGAATCGTCAAGCGATCCACGTTTCGTCCATTAATCTGCTCCCCAACTCTCCATTCATTCGTGGCGTTCGAAATCTCCACGATTATACACCCAACGAGAAATTAATTACGATAACACTAGAACGACTACACATCGTGGGGAATTATGGTTTTTGCGCTCGTAACGACAAGAAACCGGAGGAGTAGTGAGGTTTAAACGTGCGCCGCGCCAGCTTCGAGCGACACGTTGAAACGCTCAAAGACGCGAGAGAGGCGAGGAAAAAGGAGGACAGACGGTTGAGGAACATTGTGACTGCGCGTCAGAGACAGGAGAAACACCGGTAACGCGGATGACCGTGGAACATGCACGATAAAATCCCAGTCGCTGCCGGCTTAACGACCCAGACGTTTCGCGAAAGCAGACTGGCTAATTTGAATTCCCGCGAATACGGCCGGAAAAATGTTTTTAAACGACGCGGGGAATCTGTGCTCGCCACCTTCGCAATTCTTTTTTTTTTTTCTTTGTTTGTTAGGAATTCAGAGGAGTTTTGCTTCTTGCATAAAATTATTTTTCTACGGTTTTGTGAGATGAGTAGGTGTAAGTTTCATTTAAACAGGAAAAACAGTTCGAAAAAGATTAAAGTAGAACCTCGATTGTGGAAGATTCGATTTACAATTGACAGCTAAGAAAAGTTGAGAAATAAGAAAGAATAAAATTTTTGTTTTCGCTCAATATTAATTTTTATAAAATATTTCAAAGCAAACGATCTTCTTTTATGCGAAAACAGAGTTATTCGAATATATGAACTGTGTGGTCTTGATTAAAATGGATAATTAAGGTTCAACTGTTGAAAATATTGGGAATGATGGGAATATTGGGAATGTTGGGAATGTTGGGAATGATCATTGAACACCATAGACGATGAGAAATAATTTGAAGAAGCTTTCTTTCATTACTTTTTGTATAAAATAATTTTTCTACGGTTCTACAAGACAAATAAAACAAATTTGAGGAAACAATGGGTCGGAGATTAATTAGATTTCTCAGAAATATTGGTACTGATCGTTGAAGGCGGTAAGTGTTGAGAAATAATTAGAAGGATTTTTATTTTTCCCTTTTTCGCGTAAAAGAATTTTTCTACGGTTTTACAAGATGAGTACGATTAATTTAAGGGGAAAACATGGTACGAAAAAGATTATTTAGATTCCCTGAGAAAGTTGTAAAATTTCAAAAATAATTGGGAGATTCCTATTCCAACTATTTTTTGCGCACACAGATTTTTGTGAATTTAGTTGAGGCAATCTATTGGAAAACTAGATGCCAATCATTGCAAGGGATTTTTGAAAAATAATTGAAAGAAGAGACTTTTTTCTTTTTTTATTCGTGTATATATATTCGAAACTAGTTTTAGCACAGTGCGAAAGGTAGTACGAGCTTAAAATCGAGGAAATATTTATCCATACCTTTTTTCTACAAATAAATACAAAAAGCACATTGTTCCTCTTTTTTTCATCTAAAAATATATTCCTAAGAATTTAATTTGAAGAAAAAATGTGACAGAAATTATTTCCAATTCTTTGGTGACAATTATTAAAAATTATTTCTATGTAATAATTGCACAAAATTTACCTATTTTGTAATAAAAAAATGGTGTTCATTGTTAGCGAGTTTAATTGTAATCGTCGTGAGAAGATAAAGTATCCCGGAACGTTCATTCACTGAGAGTTCTTAATGAAATTATGGCATTCGTAAGCGATCCAGGATGATGGATGACTGGTAATTATGTTTAGAGGTAATGCATGTGTTTGTAGTTCGGAGAGGAGGTTGAAAAGTTTGAGATACAAAAGGGTGGAATAATTAATTAATGCGCTTAAAAGCACCACGGTGCATGATTCTGTACATTGTGGTAGGTTGATTGAATAAATGAAGTGATACTTCACTCATTCTCTCAACTATAATTGCCTTGAATTTTTAAATCCCACTTAATGTACATTCCAACATTCCTCACCTTCACGATACATCAATTTTCAACCTTTAAATCAAAGAAAACTTTAAATATTTTTGGGACAAACATTTCTATATTTAATAAATTTAAAATTATATCTAATATTCTAAATTCCAGATAATTGTGACGATGCATTCCCTTCAGAATTTCGTGCTTTCC